CAAATTTGCAAGTCAGAAGTGTGTGCGTGCACTTTAATGAGCTGTTGCACTTAAGCTGAACTTGTCTCAACAACAGAGCTGTTAGCTGAAACAATAACTCTGTCAAAAAATAAAGGATTACGAAAAATACGGAGCAAAATGTCAATGGAAACAAAAGGAGTAAAAAGATGTAATGCTGAATGAACTGTAAGATGCAAGCTGAAGGAAAATACATTTACATATAGAAAAGTTAAATGTAAATCTAAAATATTCTAATAGAATAAATAAATAAAAACAACGCCAGTGGGCAAAAGCAAGGAGGTCAAATACGTACAAAAGAGGATTAGGGCCACTAAAAATAATAAAAAGACAGAATTATTGGTATTTGTTTTGATTATTATCTACAATGAAATCTACAATGAAAATACAAATTGATAATATTTTGATTACCAATGTTAAATCCACTCATTTCCTTGGTGTTATAATAGATGATTCTTTATGCTGGAAACCTCAAATTAGTGCTGTAAGTACAAAAATAGCCAGAGTGGTTGGAATATTAGGGAAAATCCGGCATCTGATTAATAAAAAAATTTGCAACTACGTATGTTGTATTATACTATGTTGTATCCATATATAAATTACTGTAATACTACTTGGGCAAGTACCCATACAACCAAACTTTCGACTTCAGAAGCGAGCTTTAAGAATAATATTTTGTGTAAATCATAGACATCCCTCTCAGTCACTGTTTGCTCAAGCAAATATTCTTAGTGTTTACCAAGTGAATCAACTTCAAATTGCTTTATTTGTTTTACAGTTCTATAAAAATGTTACTTCCCCAGCGTTTCTGTTACATTTTTACTTTTAATAACGAATTTCACCAGTATTCAACTCGTAGAAATTGTCTTATTAGACCCCCTTACAGTCGTACAACTCAAACACAGTTTAGTGTTTTATATAGAGGGTCACAGATATGGATCAGTCTTCCAGGATTTTTAAGTGAAGAATCAGATTGTTACTTTTAAGTTGTTCTGGTTTCCCTTATAGGTTTGATTATTGAAAGTAATTTTCTTTTTTTGCTGTTTATATAGTGTTTTATTTTTTGTAGTGTATGGATTCTTTTGAATTTATGTAACTTTTGTTATTTCTTTTTCGGAGTTTGCTGCTTGTTAGCCCCTTGAGGGTTTTTTTGGCAATTCTCCTCCACATCTGTTTTTTTTTTGTCATATAATTACGACACTACTATTCTTTTTTGTTTTTATTTT